CAAAAAAAAAAAAAAAAAAAAAAAAAAAGATTAGCAGCATGCAAGCACTGAGAAGTGTGTGGTGCTGTTCACATGGAATGGTGGTGTCGTTATTACACGTAACCTCTGTAATTATAATAATAGTGGCTCACACTTGCAGAACACTCACTGTGTGTACCCCAGGCTCCATGCGCTGTGCAGCCGTCTGCCTTTGGTTTGGTTTGGTTTTGGTTTTGGTTTTTTTGAGACAGGGTCTCACTATGTAGTTCAGGCTGGCTTCTAACTTAACAGCAGTCCTCCTGCCTCAGCCTCCCAAGTGCTGAGATTTACAGGTATGCACCACCATTCCCAACTTGCCACATCTTATAAATAAGAAAACTGAGGCTCAGAGAGATTTAAGTAGTATGCTCAGCAGTGCCGAGGTAGTAAGTGGCAGAGCCGAGAGATGCACACAGATTGTTCTGCCTCCAGCCTGCTCCTGTGCGCTCCAGCTCCCAGGCCCCAAGAGCAGGTTGTGGAGGGTGGTGTCCCCCAGGAGCCTCTTTTCAGAGAGAAATCCCCTCCAGGTTTGACCAGATGGCAGGAGGTGGCCCCCTCTTCATAGATGTGACCTGGCACCCAGCGGGGGACCCTGGCTCAGATAAGGAGACGTCCTCCATGATGATCGCCAGCACGGCTGTGAACTACTGTGGCCTGGAAACCATGCTGCACATGACATGCTGCCAGCAGAGCCCAGAGCAGATCACGGGCCACCTGTACAAAGCCAAGCAGCTGGGCATCAAGAACATCTTGGCACTGCGGGGAGGTGTGGAGCCAGCATTGTCCTCCTCTCGGGGCTCTTCTTTCCCAAGGCCTCTCCTGTCTCTGGAACAGCCCCCGCCCAAATGGCCATGCTCAGTCAGGGTGCTCCCCTGCCTGCAGATGAGCAGGCAGGCACTGTGGGCAGAGTCTGTCATGGACACCGCCTCCGCTACCTCTAGACCCGAATGGAGGCCACTTAGGGGTGTGGCCAGGGCCTGATAGCCCATGCCCTGGCCGCATATCTGTCACTGGCTGCACCTGGCCATGGAGTGCAGCCCTGGCATTCGGCCAGTGTCTTTGGTGCCTGCTGTTGCTGTCACTGGGTCACCGGCAGTGGGTGGAGGAAACCTGATGGGTAGGAGGGAGCGTGTGCCCTCGTGCACCCCACCGCAGGACCACTTTTCACTTGAGATGGGCTGGAAGTTCTTGCAGGAGGCAGGAGCTGCAGGACAGCAGGGAGGTGGCAGGGCCAGGCGAGGGACATTGCCAGCTTCAAGCAACAAAGAGATTCTTACAGTGAAGCTTGGCCCCGGGTGGAGGGTGGGCAAAGAGCTCTCTGGAGGTCAGGCAAGACTCGGTTGCCGTGACCTCCAGCAACCCTGCAGACCCCATAGGTGACCAGTGGGAAGCAGAGGAAGGAGGCTTCGACCATGCCACAGACCTGGTGAAGCACATCCGAGGCGAGTTTGGTGACTACTTTGACATCTGTGTGGCAGGTGAGTGGGTGGAGACAGAGAGGGGAGATGAGAAGCTGGGAGAGCTGGTGCCCCCCTGGGCCCGAGCCCTTGCCAGGCAAGAGTGTGCACGTGAGTTACAGGGGTTCACACACTGTCCTTGCTCTCATCCTGTCCCCCACCACCCCTAAGCTTTTGTTCTTCTGCCCCACACACTCCCAGCCCTCCTGTCCTCTCTCCACCAAGAGGGAAGTTTATTAAGAGGACTCGAGAGGGCCGGGGATTTAGCTCAGCAGTTTGGTGGCCTGCCTCGCAAGCACAAGGACCTGAGTTCGATCCTCGGTACCAAAAAAAAAAGAGGACTCAAGAATCCCAGAAGCCAAGGTCAGGAAATGGCATCAGCCCCCGCTGCAGTGGTGCTGAACCATTCAGGAATCAAGGCCCCTCCCATTCTGTCAGTGGCTACAGCGTCCCGTCTCTGCTCCCCCTGCAGTCTGCTCCCTGCTCCCTCCAGAACACCCGATGGTCATGCTTTTCTGTGCACGTGACCGTGACCCGTCCTGAAAGTACGTGGTGTTGGTCCCAGCCAGTAGCCCAGACCAAGTGACAGCGCTCAATGTCAGTTGCAGACTCCCAGGTCAGCTCAGCTCTGGCTCCTTCCGCTGCAGCCAGAAGGGCGGTGCACCAGCAGAAACAAGGGGGTGGCCTCCCCTCTCACCCCCACGCACAGCAAGTGGGGCATTTGCTTCTCAAAGCAGCTTAAGGGACGGCGCAGCCACGTGTGCCGAGAACGTCAGAACCCCCGGGTTGATTTGATACATCTTGGAAGAGGAGGGATCATGCCATTTCTATACTGAAACATGGCTAGATTGCAGAGTGGACGTCTCAATTTGAAATTTAAAAATCAGCTCTGTGGCTTCAGGAGCATTCTTTCTCCCAGGTAACCTTGGTCTTTTCCCAGTCCGCTAGTGTGTCTGTCACCAGGGGTGCCCCAGTGGCTAAGACCAGGAAGCCCTGGTGGGAGTCAGGAAGGGGGCAGGCATTTCCACCTGTTCCATCCGTTGCTGCTCCTTCCTGACCTGATGCAGCCAGCCAGGTGGGGACTGTACATGCACACTGGTGGTGGGCATTGGGTGGTTTTATGCTTTGCTGACTGTGAAGTGCACGATAAGATCTGTGGATTTAAAGGTACCACACTGAAGATGATAGAAAAAAGAATATAGTCAAGTGAGCAAAATCCAAATGTAATTGAAGGCTGGATTTGTTTGTTGACTAAGCTGTATAGCTGTAGAGTTTCTGAATTTCCTACTGAAGAATTAGCTTTGTTACTGAAAGTGAAATCCTTGTGCCCAATTCCCTCCCCCACCCCCATTCCCTGACCCCTTGAAACAGTAGCTTTTATACGCAGTTTTGATGGCTTCAGCTTGCTGAAGAATGGAACTGCCTTATCACAGCAAAGCAGCTTGGCCTCCCAACAGCCCAGGGCTCAGGGCTGTACCCTGCACAGCTCAGGACCTGCCTGGGCTCATGCAGAAGCCAGCACGGACCCTGTGGTTGCATGAAAGTCATGCAGGGCTGTGGGTCACTCCCAGCATTGGGAAGGAGTCAGGTCACAAAGGTAGCGCCCAGCTTAGTGGGCAACTGGTCCCATCTCCCAAGCAGTTCCAGACCCCATCTTCTGTGTACCCATACCTTGGTCACCACTGCCCCAGAGCATTCCGACTCCAGAACTTGTTGCTTTGTGGGGTTGTAACTGATGCTGGTTCTGCTGTCAGTAGGAACACAAGCTGTGGCTAATAAGGACCCCAACTGGGTGATTCCTTTCTCCCCAAAACAGGCCTTTGGACATTTGAAAGTAGTTTCTGTACTCTCTCCATTCATTTCTAGGAGCAGAACTTCTCCGCTTTCTTCAGTCCTTCCTTGTGTAACATGGTTCCTAACTGTTTACTGTCTTGGACTCCTGAAGGATTTTAGGGTTACATTCAAAACAGTGTTTTGATCCAGTGCCCCAAGGGTGCCTGACCGGTGCCAAATGTAGTGGTTCCTTTGTTCTATGGCCACAAAGTGCAGGCCCGCTTGGACTGGCTGGCTGAGCCAGGACAGTGTGGGACATTTGGTGCAAGCTGTCGCCCATGAGGACCACCTCTGGGGTCACAGCGCAGCCGCCAGCCCATCTGTCCATGTTGCCTGTTGTGCTGTGCTGTTGGAAGCTGTGAGTGCCAGGCCCAGGCAGAGGGCTCAGGGGCCATTATCAGTCACCTTAAACAGGCACAGGCCAGCCTCTCCCTGATGTCCTCCCTGCTGGCAGGTTACCCCAAAGGCCACCCCGAGGCAGGGAGCTTTGAGGAGGACCTGAGGCACCTGAAGGAAAAGGTGTCCGCAGGCGCCGACTTCATCATAACCCAGCTCTTCTTTGAGGCCGACACCTTCTTCCACTTTTTGAAGGCCTGCAGCGAGATTGGCATCTCCTGCCCCATCCTCCCCGGGATCTTCCCTATCCAGGTGAGGGGCCCCAGCTCCCCCCCACCCCTCCCCAGCAAGGCCAGGGCTCTGGGGGGAGTGCTGAGTCCACAGCACAGCATGGTACTGCTGTACTGTACCTCACTGTCCCCTGGGTGTCCCCCCCTGCTAAAACAGCATCAGCATCTGTGAGGGGCTCCTACCTCGGCCTGCTGACAAGTGTCACCACAAAGGAAGAACAGGTGCCCTGCCTCCAGAAGTTCTGGGTGGGCCAGCAGACCTGCACTGTGCTTCTTTCTTTAAGCTTGGGTGATTCTGATGGTCAGCAAAGTTTGGGAACAGTGGGTGAAGTGATCACTGTGTTACCAGTAAATACAGCTCAGGGTAAAGGGCTGTCGACTCTGCAAAAGTAGAGGAAGCAGAACCGGCCCACTGTCGCCCTGCACACACAGCCTGGCTTTCCCAAGTCCCTCCAGTGACACTGCAGAGTCTAGGAGCCCCGGCAGAAATGGGAAAGGGGTGAGTCTTCCGGGGGGAAGGGGCCCGAGGTGACCCCAGTCCTCCCTGTGCTGGGCAGAGCTACTCCTCCCTCCGGCAGCTTGTGAAGCTGTCCAAGCTGGAGGTGCCACAGGAGATCAAGGACGTGATTGAGCCGATCAAAGACAATGACGCTGCCATCTGCAACTACGGCATCGAGCTGGCCGTGAGCCTGTGCCAGGAGCTTCTAGCCAGCGGCTCGGTGCCAGGCCTCCACTTCTATACCCTCAACCGCAAAATGGCCACCACCAGTGTGCTGAAACGCCTGGGCATGTGGACTGAGGACCCCAGGTGAGGGCAGAGAGCAGCCACGGCAGGACGGAGCCATGGCTGGCTGGGTTTCCCTGGACAGCTGCAGCCCCGGGAAGCCAGGCTGGGTGGTGCCTCGTCCCTTCAGCTCTCTGAAGCCAATCTCTGGTCCTTTCTGTCCATTGTCACCAGGCGTCCCCTCCCATGGGCCATCAGCGCACACCCCAAGAGACGAGAGGAGGACGTGCGCCCCATCTTCTGGGCCTCCAGACCAAAGAGCTACATCTACCGCACCCAGGACTGGAACGAGTTTCCCAATGGCCGCTGGTGAGGGCCTGCAGCTACTCCAGTGGGGTGGTCCCTGGAGGAAGTGGGCAGGATGGGTGGGAGCCCCTGACCTGTGGGTCCCTCCCTGCCAGGGGCAATTCCTCCTCGCCAGCCTTCGGGGAGCTGAAGAACTACTACCTCTTCTACCTGAAAAGCAAGTCACCCCGCCAGGAGCTGCTGAAGATGTGGGGTGAGGAGCTCAGCAGCGAGGAGAGTGTCTTCGAAGTCTTCGCACACTACCTCTCAGGGGAGCCGAACCAGTACGGCTACAAGGTGCGCAGTGCAGCCTGGGGTCCCGGTCCCCGCTTCCCTGTCCTCAGCTGTGGCACCCAGCAAGGGAATGAGGGGGAGTAGGTGAGGCCAAGATGTGGTGCCTGGGAGGGAAGGAGCCGGGGTCAGTCCTTGCCTGGCCTCCCAGCCCGGCTCCCCCTCCCGCCAGGTGACCTGCCTGCCCTGGAATGATGAGCCCCTGGCGGCTGAGACCAACCTGATGAAGCAGCAGCTTCTGCGCGTGAACCGGCTGGGCATCCTCACCATCAACTCCCAGCCCAACGTCAACGGGAGGCCATCCTCCGACCCCATCGTGGGCTGGGGCCCGAGTGGGGGCTACGTCTTCCAGAAGGTAGGGCGTTGCGGGGACTGCGCCACCTTGACCCTCACCAGGGCTTCCCTGGGACAGGGATACAGCTCTGCCTGTCCCATCTGGACCCTTTATTTTAAATGACAGGGGAGCAGAGTGCATAGGAGCACAGGCTTTAGAACAGACAGACCAGGCAGGCCTCAGTTTTGTCTTCTGTAAAATGGGCCAAGTTTCACGTTCCAGAGGTGAAATGTGCGTGAACGCAGGAAGCAGCCACTGAGTAGGGGCCCAATATTTTCTCTCAGGGGTGCTGGAGTCAACTTACATGGAGCCCACAGCCCTGACTCAGACGGCCCTGGTTTAATACTAGCTCTGCTGTCCACCGTCAGCTCAGCCCACTGACCCAGGGTCCCCAAAGCTGTTTTCCTCATCTGGGGATGCTGTGCCCATCCCGCAGGATTATGAATATCCTAGCAAGTGAACAGAAATAAAAGACAGACTCGCATGCTGGAGAAGACAGTGCTGTCAGCATCACCATCCAGGGACTGGGGAGGCTGGGGCTGTGCCGGGCCTCTCACATCCTTAGCTGTGACACTTTCTCCTGCTGAATTACCAGAATGCCACTCCCTGTGGCAGGGAGAGGGGTACAGACTGAGGAACCTGAGTGCTGCTCCCCTCTCCCTTGTAGTCCCCAGCACTACAGTTCCTACTAGGGGTGTCCTCTAGACCTGTGACCCAAGGTGCTGCATGCGCCCGCTGGGTCCCTCCCTGGATGGGCAGGAGGGCGGGGCCTGGTGGGGCTCTCGGAAAGGATGTCACCAGGAGCTGGTGCTGATGTGTGGCCACCCGTGCCCCACAGGCCTACCTGGAGTTCTTCACCTCCCGAGAGACAGTGGAGGCACTCCTGCAGGTGCTGAGGAAGTACGAGCTGCGGGTCAATTACCACATTGTGGATGTGAAGGTAGGCATTTCTGGCTCCACGGCACTCACAGTGACTCCACTTGCCTCCCCCGGGGCAAGCATGTTGTGTACCAGAAACAGGCAAAATCAAGGCCCTGGCCCCAGAGAGTTCCTGGCCTGGTGAGGGGACAGCAGGTGAGGATAATCACCTGTCAGCAGGTGCAGGAAAACAAAGTTCAGCACAGGCTGCTGAAGGTAACAGAGGAAGGCTGTCAGACCTGGAAGGTCAGCCGGGCCTGGTGGCGCACACTGGGAGGCTGAGGCTGGAGGATTGCAAATTCAAGCTCAGCCTGGGCAACTTAGTGAGAACTTGTCTCAAAATGTAAGAGTTGGGTAAAGTGACACACACCTGTAATCCATATATTAGGGAGGCTGAGGCAGGAGGATCACTGAGAGTTGGAGACCAACCTGGGCTACGTAGTAAATTCAAGACTAGCCCTAATTACACATAGCGAGACCCTGTCTCAAAAAAACAAAAATAATTACTAAAAAATAAAGAGAGCCAGGCATGGTGGCGCACACCTGTAATCCCAGCACTGGGGAGGCTGAGGCAGGAGGATCACTGTGAGTTGGAGACCAGCCTGAGCTACATAGTGAGTTCTAGGTCAGTCTCAACTACATAGTGAGACCCTGTCTCAAAAAACTAAAAAGAAAAAAAAAAAAAATGAAGGACATAGGGATGTAGCTCAGTGTGAAAGCCCTGGGTTCAATCCCCAGCACCAGAAAAACAACCTGGGAAGTCAGGAAGCTTCTGGGAGGGGTCCTGTAGTGACAGAGAGGAGTTGGCCAGTGGGGGTGGGAGGGGCCTGGGCCTCAAGCTACAGTCTCCATCTGAGATGAAAGAGGAGGTGGAAGTGTTCAGCAGGGCCCAGGGCTTGTCGTCCTGCTTGGAATATGGGGGTGACCTAGAGGCAAGGAGCAGCTCTCTCCAGCAGTGGCCGAGGCAGATGGCAGTGGGCAGCATGTGGGTCATAGGCAGGGCCATGGGGGCTGGTGGCAGCCCCAGGGGGTGGCGCATGTAGACAGGTGGGAGCTGCTCAGGTGCAGGCCTGGGAGGGGCAGTAAAAGGGCTGCGCTGGCTCTGCCCCACACCCATCATCCTCCACCACCCCCGCAGGGTGAGAACATCACCAATGCCCCCGAGCTGCAGCCCAATGCCGTCACATGGGGCATCTTCCCGGGGCGAGAGATCATCCAGCCCACAGTGGTGGACCCCGTCAGCTTCATGTTCTGGAAGGTAAAGGATTGGGAGGAGCCCCACCCACCGTGAGAACCCCGAAGAGACCGCATCACCTGGTCCCAAGGGTGTGGCTAAAGGCCGGACCCTGGGGCCAGCAGATTCAGCCTTCAGGGCCACATGTTCTCACATAGTGGTCATTTCTGGGGCGGGTGAGAGTAGCCCTGGCACCAGCTTTGCTCTGACCCCAGACCTGTCAGCCAAGGCAGCAGCAGAAGCCTGGCCTGGGGGCATCCTGCTGACCTTGCATGTGTGTGTATATGTGTGTGTGTGTGTGTGTCCACACCTCTGTGTGTAGGACGAGGCCTTTGCCCTGTGGATCGAGCAGTGGGGCAAACTGTATGACGAGGAGTCCCCATCCCGCATGATCATCCAGTACATCCATGACAACTACTTCCTGGTCAACCTGGTGGACAACGAGTTCCCGCAGGACAGCTGCCTGTGGCAGGTGGTGGAAGATGCATTCGAGCTGCTCAACAGGCCCGCTGGGCTTGTGAGGGAGGTGGAGGCATCATGACCTGCATCCGCCCCTCCCGGTCCTGACTCTCCCTTGTGCCCAAGCCCGCTGCCCACGTGAGGGCACTGCCCATGCTGCACTGGTGTGAGGCTGCCAGGCTCTGGCCGGACTGGAGTGGGCCCCCGTGGGAGCCTGGTGCTCCTGTGCAAGGCAGGATCTCATGCTCTGTCGGTGCTGCAGGGGACCACAGTAGATGGCACATCTCCATCCCTGGGAAGAGAAAGACACTGGTTTTGCAACTGAGGCTCTGGAAGCCAGCGAACTTGTACTCTGGGCCCCTGCAGGATGAGCAGGGCAAGCATGGGCAGCAGCAGCCCCTGTGGGATTGAAGAGTGAAATACCACCTTCTGGGAGCTGGCAGCAGGGCCCCAGGACCTGTGACTGAAGGGCAAGCCACTGCCCTGCCTTCTGCTCTGCTGGCCACAGCACCGAGCCCTGGGATGGTCCTTGGGCTGGCACCTGGCATAAAAGGACGTCTTGGCATCTTCTGCCTGAGACCTCAGCTGGGTATATCCTTCTCCAGTGCTGTTCTTTAAAACAGCTGCCTGTGCTTTCTGGTGGCCAGAGACTAAGTGCCCCTTAAGGGCTAACAGCAGTCCCATCCCTCACACTTGGTGGGGCCCCTGGCTTTCCCGTCTGTCCCAGTAACCGTCAGGCAAAGATGACCCGGCTGACAGGGACTCTAGCTTGGCCCGGGACAGTACATAGCCCCTCTTGCGGACTTATTTTTAGGCAGGTGCTCCTGCCAGCTGAGTCCTGGCACCCCTCCCAGGAGTTAGTCCGAGGTACTGGCAGGCTGCTGCTGTCCTGGAAGCCAGCCTGTTGGCTTTGCTGGCCCAGCGGGGAGACCTGCAGCCAGTGGGTCCCTCTGCCTTCCTGGTGGAGGCACAACTTTTAGGAGACTTCAAGAGAAGCAGCGAGGACCAAGGAGGCCTTTATTGTACTTGGGCTCCTTGCACTGTCGCTGTATTCTGTGGATGCGTTCCTCTCCTGCACTGAGTCCTGCTCTGTAGTCCACGGGAGCAAGTCAGGCCTGCAGCTGGGAGCCTGCCCGGCCCCATGCCCTCCACGGGGCTTGGTCCCTGCTCCCGGGATCCCTGGTGTCCCGCCTGCCCAGGGCCTCGGCTGCTGGGGGCTCCTGTCCTTGGGCTTCTGGCTGCCAGGTGCTGGTGCCACCTCTCAAAGGCCTGGAATTAGGAAGGGACAGGAAAGGCCCTCATCTGGGGTATCCTCCAGGGCCTTGCTGTGCCTGGCTCTCAGTCCCTGTGGAGGCTCCACTCCTTGCCCTAGGCAGCAGGGCCAAACACACAGGCTCAGAATAGACCTCAAATGTGACCTGGGAAGCCTTGCTCCAAGCAGTGAAAAGGAACAGCGTGCTGGCCCCAGGTAGCCACTGTGCCACAGGTCAAGCCTTGTTCCCAGTGATGGGGACAGTGGCTGAGCTTGTGGCCACCCGTCAGGTCCAGGGTTCTACCACTCAGGCTGCACGTTCACCTCCCCAGAAGGGAAGACCCTCCACCTGCTCAGCAGTGTCCAGTGGTGCCCCGGATTGGAAGGCTGGCACCGGGGCCACTGCCTACCTGGGAAAGGACCCAGCTGTCTTCTCGCTGCTGTATCTGCCTGGCCACTCGCAGCTGCAGTACTTGCCGTCGCCACCACCTCCAGGCCTGTCCCAGGTGCCACTGCCGGAGCTGTGGGCGGAATGACAAGAGGAGCCCCCTTCACCATGCTCCCCAGCAGCCCAGCCCTCTGCCTGTCCTGCAGCTCTGACACCGCGGTGAACAGGACATGATGAAGCAGTGTCCACAAGGTGCTGTTCCTAGAGTCAGAGGAGGCCAAGATGCAGCGAGGCTGTCTCAGAGTGTGGGGTGGGGAGAGCCTGCCAAGCCCACTCACCAGGCTCTGGGACAGCTGTGCGGCCCCTTGAGCACCTGCCCAGCACTGCCACATCACCCTCAGGTGCCTGACCCGCTGTGAGGCCTGGAATCTGCAGAGCAGAACTTCAAGGCGCCAGCGCCATGGGTACTTCCTCCTGGTGGCCAAGGCATGGTGACCTCATCGAGGCCAGCGAGCAGGGCTGAGCCTGGGCCCTGTGGGAACGAGCCCTGGCCAGAGGGGCCCCGGGCCACTCCCTCCCTCCCCAGTGTGCTCACAACTGCCCTACCCCAGCCTGCTTGAAGGACTCTCGCCTTGGGGGGCTCTGGTCTCAGATCCACGGAGCCCTGCTGCTATGGGGGCCCAGCTACTGCGACCAGGCCACTGCAGCCATAGCTGGAGGACAGGCCCGAGGGGACAGTCCCTGTGGCCTGAAAAGGGGCATTAGGGCAGGAGAGGTTAGCACATTGCTTCAGGGCAGCAACTGCTCCCTCAGTGCCAGCCAGAGTTGACCGCCACTGCAGAGGCGGTAAATAGTGAGAGGCCTGGGCCCTCCCCCCACAACATCCCCAGGACTTTGGCTGCTGCCCCAGAGAATAATAGGGTGGGAAAGGAACTGCAGCCCAGCTTAGCCAGATTAGGTGTGGGGGGGATTGATTTCCAGGCCCTCTAGGGCTGGCAATGTCTCACCCACCCCTGCCCCTGAGACACCCAGGGTCTGGGTCTCCTTACACTGAGCCCCAAACGCTTCACCCTCTGGCCTTTGTCCACTGCAGTTGTGCTTTGGCCTGACCAGTGAGGCCCCCGTGGCCTGTGTCCAGTGGCTTTGTGTCTAAATGACAAGCGAGAAAAAACCTGAGCCAGGGCGTTGACCGGCTGGGGCCCCGCTGTCCTGCCCGCCCGCCAGTAAGACCCCCTCTCACTCGCTTGTGCACACAAGTGGGAGGGTCCACCTCACCCCAAGCCTTCCTGGGAGCCTTGAGCCCCCCAGAGGCAGGAAAGGTGCTCACGGGTGTGTAGCCCATCTTCCTAACCGCTGAAGATGTCCCCTCACAGGAGGGAGCCAGTAAAAGCTCACCGGGGCCAGGATCAGCCCTGAGCAGTGGCCCTCACTGTCCCCACTTAAGCTTCACAAGATTGAGTGATGAGATCTGCGCCTCCAGTATACAGGTGGGGGACTCTGCCACCAAGAGATGGCCTCCCACCTGCCTGCGTCCCCAGGTGAGGGCTGCCTGTGTGCGTGTGCTCCTGTGGCTGAGGGGAGGGTGACACCCTCAGCCCCAGGGTGTGGTGTTGCTATCGCCATTGATCCATATGTAAATTCTGAGAAGCCCTGAATCTTGTGTCTCAGTTGCATTGGAAAAAAAAAAAGCAACGAACCACTTGAGCATTTTTTTCTCAGACTCTAAACTCAGCTCTCTGGCATTCTGAAGAGGCCAACTGACCTTGGGAAACACTACTTGGTCCCCCTTCACTGGGCTCTGAGTGACGGTCCCCAGACTCCTGTGCAGTGTTGTGTTTTCTTATCCCTGGCTGAGGTGGTGGCCTCTTACCACTGATTGCCAGTGTCAGAACCGACAGCTTCAGATTTGTGGAGGGACTGATGATTACTTATGAATAGAGAAAATGATACGACTTTTTTACTTTTATATTTTGATTTTTTTTCTGTAATGAGCATAAATTTTCCAATTAAAAAAAAACTATTAAAAACGCAGTGGTCCCAGTGTACCTATCTCAATCCCAGGAGGGACATGATGTGTTAGGAATGTAAGTGTCTGACTCCCAACAGACTGGTACCCCAGCAAATGGGACTTGCACCTAGCTAGTACCTGAAAGGAGCTCAGTAAAGATTGCTGATGGAGCCGGTGTTGCCTGCTCCCCGGGCCAAGAGAGAACATTCAAGAGCCAGGTAGGGGTGGGGTCCTGGAGAAGTGCCCATCCGCTTGCGCCATGCGTTGCAATAAGCTGATGCAGTCAGTCGATGGCCTGACATGTGCAGACCTCCCTAGCCCACCTGGGCCCCACTTCACCTGCCTCCGAGGGGCCGGAGCATCGGTCAGCAGGAGGCGCCCTCTACCGGCCAGTCTGGGCCAGTGTCTAAGGTCGGTGGCCTGGGCCTGGGTCTGTAGGTTCAGCCGCACTCTGAGCAGTGCTGCCTGCCACTGGGCCCAGTTGGTCCGCAGAAGGTGCCTTAGCTCAGCCTGCTGGAGCTGGGTGATGGCTGCTTGTTGGACATAGTCTTGGGCCACTGACTGGGCCCAGGCCGCTAGGGCCCTGGAAGAGAAGGAAGGCCATCAGGTCCTGGGCTCTCAGGAGTGCCTTGCAGGAAGGGCCCACAAAGCCCCAGGCCTGTGCGCTCCCCTGTCCTCTTAACAGAATCGAGTTAAATGGGCTGGAAGGGGCAGAATATCACCCAACAAGGACAAGCACCCTCCGTAAGGGCAGAGGGGTAATCCCGCCAGCCATGCATTGCCTCTTCTCCCAAGGACACATGCTCTGTGGCTTGCTGGGCCCAGCCTGGGCAAAGCCGTCACACACATCTGGCCACGCAGCAGGACAGGACTGTCCAGAGGGTCTGCCAGCTAGAAAGTGGCGAGGGTGGGACTTGCCCCCAGGACCAGCTGCAATGCCATGCTGGCCTCTCCCTATCCCCCGATCAGCTCCTGGGACTCCGCCTGCCACCTGGCCACCAAATACAGTCTACCCGCCAAAACTGAGCTCTCAGCCTGAGCCAAGGCCCCGTGCAGGGCTGTCCTCGGGCTGCGGACACTCACTGGGCACTCAGGCTCAGGGTAGTGTGGGCTCCATTGAGCTCCAGGGTGCAGCTCGGGACCACCTGCTGGGCCTCATAGTGCAGGCCCAGGGCCACTCACCACACTTCAAAGGCCTGCTGGGCCTGGGCCCTCCTCAGCTGTCTGTCTGCCTGGCCTTGCTGCACATGGCTTCTCCAGCGCAGGACACAGGGCCGGACCACACACTGCTCCTGTGGCCTGGCTGTCACCTCTGGGGCCTCTGGCCAGGTGGCTCTTCTCAGGGCATCCCGGAAGGCTGGACTCTGGGCCCCAGGCAGCCCCGTGTCTCACAAGCTCCCACCAGGCCTGGAAGTGGCTGAAGAAGAGCAGCAGGGGAGAGAGCCAGCTGCCCCTGAGTCATTGGATAGTCATCTATCCAAAATGACTTCTCCAAATCCCCTCAGGCAGCTAGGGTCACACACGGCTTTCCACACACAACCCGGTGCCTTGAAAATGACCTGTCCAACACCCAGGTATGGTGGCACACGCCTGTGATCCCAGTACTCAGGAGGCTGAGGCAGGCAGATGGCTGAGTTTGAGGCCAACCTGGACTACATAGCAAGACTTTGTCCCAAAAAAAGGAACATAAAAATCAAAAACAAGGAAAAATGTCCTGTCCAGTGAGTAAGGTCAAAGGGCTGGCTTTCCCCCAAGGAACTCAGCCCACACAGACCCCCCCCCATCTCCAAACCCTAGGCTTGGGGAACAAATGCTGCCCTGGGAGGACAAGGGGGCAGTCCATTTATGGGCTCATGGCTACGCCCCCTGATCCCAGTGGTTGGTGGCAGAAGCGCAGACGTGGCCCCTCTGTGGCCAGTGGTTCACCGTCCTGTGGGGACACCATAAACATCTACACGTTCAGGCTGCACCGTGGGATGACGCATCTTCTGGCCCTGTTGTTTTTTAATTTTTATTTTATCGTTTTTATTTTATTTGAGAAAGGGTTTTGTTATATAGGTCAGGCTGGCCTTGAACCCAGGGCTATCCTCCTGCCTCAGCCTCCTGAGTGCTGGGATTATAGGCAAGCATCACCCCTCCTAGCTTTTTTTTTTTTTTAAGGACAATATCACTCTCTTCTTCCAGTGACCATTTGGGAAACATTCTGTGCTGTGACTCCTCACACAGCCGTGTGGTGTGGATGTCTGAGGAATCCATTTCCAATGTCTTCACTGTCCTCAGAAGGCTCAGAGCTTCCCTGGCCAGCAGGGGTACTCTGGGGCATGCCAGCGCCATAGTGGTGTAAGACTTGAATAGGCTAAAGTGACTCCATGCTAATAGGCCAGACTGTGCTTCTTCATATGCTAATTGCTACCTTGGTTAACAGCACGCCCAGGGGCAAATAGTTTGACAAAAGGTGACCCTAGAACATTTCCTGCATAAGAAAAGCAATGTGTTTGCAGTCTTGTTCTGTGAATTCCCTGACTCTTTGTTTAGTAAAACCTTATAAAAGTACCTCAGCCCCTGAGCAGTAGCCTCTCTGAGCCACCTGGCTCTGGGAGTGCCGTCTGGCCAGACTAATAAAGGTCTTTTACCATCTAGGCTGGTGTGTTCCTTCCTGGGTTTCTCGGTTCTCTGTCGTGTTCCCGGAGCCTCGCTGGGTGTTAGGGCCCAGCATCATGGAGGCCTTTCGGCTGTTCACGCTCCATGGAGTGGAAGTGAGACTTTAGGTCTTATAGTGGGATGGGGCTGGCCACCCCCCAAACACAGAGGGTCACAGCCCCCCATCTACAGTGGGGTCTCCTTCCTGCCCCCTCCCTTCCCAGACCCCAGCCTCAGGGCCACCCGAGGATCTATCCCTTGGGGTCCCCTCTTGCTTTCTTTCCCTGGGCTGGGGACTCAGACCTCTCCAAACCCCCGGCCCACCCACCTGCGAATGCGTCTCCGCCGAGCCACCTCCTGCTGCCAGCCCCTGAACGCAGCCCTCCACAGGCCCTGGAGGTGGCCGTGTACCCGCCTCTGGTACTTCTCACACAGAAGCTGCTGTCCTGGGGCCAGAGAGAGGCCCGCCAAGGTGGCCCTGGGTGCTTAGCCTGCTCTCTGACCCCACCCACATGGGCACAGAAGCAACACCCTACTGCCTGGGTGAAAGACTTCTGTGGTAGGTTGTCCTGCCACTCGCAGGCCAGCCCAGCTCCGAGTTGCTGGGCTTTGAGGGTTGTTTTTGTTTGTTCGGTGCTGGAGATGGACCCCAGGGCCCTGGCTATCCTAAAGCTTGCTTTACCACTGAGCGACACCAAGAAGGTCTGGCAACCTGGGCAGTAATTGGTTTGGAAAAGCAGCTGCTGCCAGCGGGCAGGACACCAACTTTCTGGGACAATCAAGTCCTTGCCTGCCAGCCTACAATACAATGTGGACTGTAGGTCGCAGCCTCAGAAATGGCCCCCAGAAACCCCCTTCCTGGTGCCGTGTCCTGGCTGAACCCCCACCTGCAGTACCAGAGGGACCACCTGCCTTGCTTCTGACAACAGAACTTGGCAGAGGTTTGGATGTCACTGCTGCTATTAGGGTAAAGAAGCTGTAGCTTCTGGCTCAGGCTCTCACCTCCCTTTGGACCCCTCACCATGGGGAGACCAAGTGTCACTCGCAAGGTGGCCCCGAAGGGAGGCCCATGTGGTGAGGCCTTGCCAAAACCCAAGGGTGAGTTTGGAGTGGTGTTTGGCCACCAGGAAGCCTCCAGAGCGACTGCAGGCCTGGCCAACCTCACAGGAGACCAGGATCAGAGGTACCCGGCTAAGCCACGTTGGCCTCCTGGCCCGGGGACTCTGAGTTATCAAGAGTTTGTGGTTTAAAACTGGCAAGCAAGGCCACATGTAGCCCAGGGATACAGCGCTTGCCTAACATGCACAAGGCCCTGAGTTCCACCCCTGATAACACAAAAATAAACTAAACTAGAAAGTATCTGTGTCATTTGTCATGCAGCAGTGGATCAGAGGCTCCTGGCGATGACGGAGAAGTAGCTGGATTGACACCAAGTACAGAGGAAACAGCCCTCCCTTCCTTCCTTTCCACCAGAGCCAGGACTCCAGGCTGCCTGTCTGGGAACCATCCCTCCTCCCACCTCTCAGCAAGCTGCAACCTTAGTCCTGCCCCCTCCTTGGCCTGCACTGTCTCCGGGCCTGAACTTCGCCTCTGCTACTCGCCCACTGAGCTACCCACCCCAGCCCCTTCCTCCCTGACTAACTCTGTCCATCTCCGAGCCCAGACCAGTGACTCCTGGAGGCAGGAGGGTGACGAGGATGAAGGTGAAGGTGACAATGGTGACACCTGCTGGAAACTGGTACTTGGCACCTAGGATGCATGCAGTCACCCTGTGAGGTGTCACTGTGTTCCCTCCTCTCACAGGCAGTGACATGAGGCTCAGAGAGCTGAAGCCACTTGCTTGGGGCCCACACAGCCAGGGACAGAGGAGCAGGGCCTCGAACCCAAGCCTGCGGGTCCCAGCCCACAGATCCTTCTCTGTCCCCTGCCCTAGGGTCCCTTGTGGGTCTCACCCCAGCCTCGCTTGCCTGCAGTGCCCAGCCAGGTCCTCGACTCACTCTGCCAGCAGGTGTGCCAGTGGTGCAGAGCATCCCGTGCCTGGCCCTGGCCTCGCTCCTGTGCCCACCGCTCCACCTTCTGCAGTTGTGCCAGCCGCCGTCGCCACAGGCCCAGGGCAGCCCTACACCTCTGGTCCCAGGCCTGGTGGGTGGCCAGCTCTCTCCAGGCCCCTTGGGCTGCCGTCCAGTGGCTCCAGGTGAGGAGGATGCTGGGAAGCGGGGTGTCACCCTGAGGACAGTCACTGCTGCCGCAGGCCAGTCCAGCCTGCCTCGCCCTACCCCCAGCAGCAGGGAGGGCCCTAGGACTCTGCTCCCTATTACCATCAAGGGGGCAGTGCTGGGGCTGGAGGGGCCCCCAAGTCCCACTGCCGAGTCCTGTGCTCAGCCACCAGCAGGTCCTTCCTATCATCCCCCTTAGCCTGTGCCTCGATTTCTCCAGACCCTCCCAGGAGCCCCCTGTTTAACCTCCCACCTCTCCCCCACCTCGGACCCCTCTCAGGCCACTCTCAAGCACCTGTGTTGTGGAACTCCAGGAGTAGACTCAGGCCATGACCTCTGGCTGAGAAATGAGACCCTCACCCTGTTCCCACCCTCTCTGCAGGAGCAGCCTGGATGAGAGAGGGGAGCCCCTGGATCAGACCCGGGGGGGTACTGCTGTGGAGGGCAAGGGTTGATGGGAAAGGGGAAAGGAAAGCAGGGCTCTGCAGCATTGGGGTGGGGTCCCTACCGCCTCTGGAGGCTGCAGCACTGCCCGGCTGCACCCTGAGCCTGCCAGGGCAGATGGCACTGATCCTGCTGCTGCCACCCAGCAGCCCACAGGTGGCTCGCCAGGAGAGTGTCCAAGAGCTCGGGAGCTCCAGCATCCTGTGGAGGGAGGGTGAGTCTGGTTCCCACGCTTTCCAATGCTGCCCCCCATCCCCAGTCCCTGCCCCTCACCTTCTCCATCGAGCCCAGCCAGGCTGACCCTCCTGGGATGCTGCCCAGTGGCTCCGCAGCCCAGGTGGCCGCACCGCTGGCTGATGGGGTATCTGAACCCCACATCCTCAGGCGCCAGCAGCTCAGGAAGCACTGCTCCCTCGTGCCCTGGAAGGAGCTGCGGAGGAGGTGAGTGGAGGCGAGATGCCAGGCGGGGCATCAGGGCATCTCCCTGGCCACCAGGGAGAGCCAAGCCCAAAGAGGCCAGCACAGGCCCTGCACCAGCTTCTGCAATGGCCGCACACTGGGGGCCTGGGGGCCTCAGGACCACTGCCTGAGGCCCCATTCCCAGGGACTCTGACCTAATGGCCACTTGAGATGGGGTGTAGAGGGGCATGTTGCCAACCAGGGTGACCTGGGGGTCCTGGGCTCAAGGACCCCAGACTCTAGCACCCACACAACCACCCTAGGATGGCTGCCTCCACTCAGCCACAGACCCGAAGCCTGGCCCCCGGAAGGGCGGTTCCGGTGTGTTGCAGGGAGAGCAGTGGAGGGTCTGCAGGAGGGAGGGAGACATCCTGAAGCTTCTCGTGGATCAAATTCCTGGAGATGATAAAAAGCCCAAGGGTCTGCGAGGGCCACATGGTGTGGGGATAGTGGATGCCAGGTGTGTGGCTTCCAAGGACAGAAGCTTTTTCTTGGTGGTACTGGGGATTAACCCAAGGCCTTTACTCTGAGCTACATCCCCAGGCCCCCTTTTATTTTTTATTTTGAGACAGGGGTCTTGTTAAACTTTGAGCTCAGCCTCCCAGCTGCTGGAATGACAGGTGTGCAGCACGGCGCCTGGCTAGGGGGCCTCCTCGCTCCTGACACAGTGTGATTTGGAATGGGCTGTGGTGTAATGAGGCCAAGGGGGCGAAAGGGATGCAAGCTCTGCACCCCGGCTCCTTCCCTTATAGGCTTACAGGGGACGCCAGGTTCCTGCAGGGTGCTGGGGAGACAGATGGGGATCCTGCCGCCAGGGGGCGCACTCTGGGGGAGCCGAGCGGGGATGACTCACTTGGCTCCACCCCCCGCGGGGAGCCCTGTCCAAGTTCCCAGCAGCCTTGAGGCCCCAGCCGCCCTGTGTTCCCTCATTGCCTCAGGGTCCCTGGCACCTCCAGGCTGGCATCTGCTGGGGCCAAGCAGGGGAAGGAAGACGTGGCTGGTCCCCTACAAGACTGCTCTGGGCACTCAACCCTACTCACGACCACACTCTGCCTCCAGGCCAACTCTGGGTCCCTGCTCCTGGATACCTACTTGGCCCGCTGGTGCTGGGACAGCCGCATGCCCTGGAGCAGCAGGGCCCGGTGGAGGGCCAGTGTATGGCAGGCCCCCTGCAGGGACGCCCTGGCTACCATCTCCACGCCGTGGGCTGAGCTCCAGAGGGCCAGGGCCCCTGAGATGCAAGAGATGAGCCAGCTGAAAACCTGCGCCTCCCTCTGCCTCTGGGGCCCCCTTGGACACCGTGCCCTCTCACATGCTCCCCACCCCTCCCCTCGGGGCACCTGGAGAGCCCCATCTTCCCCGGCAGTGGGAGTACCCCACACCCCAGGGTCCCTCTGGGATGCCCCCACCCCAAAGGCCCCCAGTGCCACCAAAGCTTCCTCTGGGCCAGCTGCAGAGGGCTGTTATGGGGCAGGGCTTGTGGGCTGAGAGAGAAAGGGAACCCCCTACCCACCACTCACCCGCCTCCTGCCGGCAGAGGGACAGCTGGGTCACCGCCGCCTGGTCTGAGGCTCTGAGCTGCTTCATCTGTACCCACCGTCCCAGGCACCTCCTCAGGGTCCTCACACAGTGCTCGGCCAGGCGGCCCTGGCACTGGGCCCCTCTTTGTGCGACCCGCTGCCAGGCCCAGAAGCACCTAGGACAGGAGAAGAAGGTCCAGCCAGCAGCGGCAGCCCCTACCGGGGCCAGGCATAATCTCCAGGCAGGTTGAGCCCTGCACCATACAGTCTTGGTTTCTCCTCTGTAAAATGGGTTGCTGTGAGAACCGGGCCTGTCACCTGCCCAGGACACCACGAGGCCATCCCCCCTCCCTGGGGCGCCTGGGTGGCCACTTTCAGCCTCAGTCCCTGCCGTCAGTACCCCTCGGTAGCCAGAGTGTCTGCTTTTCCAGCCTCAGATCCAAATGCCTTACCCTCCTGCTGAATCCTACTCCTAGGTTTTTTGTGTTTTTTTTTTTGTTGTTGTTGTTTTTTGGAGACAGGGTCTCACTATGTAGTTGAGACTGACCTGGAACTCACTATGTAGCCCAGGGCTGGTCTCAAACTCACAGCGATCCTCCAGGCCACTATGCCCAGCTATGAATCCTACTAGGGTGAAGTCACAGCTCCTGCCTGTGTGACCCGCCCCACACACCTCTCCAACCTCACCCAGTTCATAACCAGCTGCAGTGGGCAACATAGGAGTAAATACAGAGACACAGGTCTGCAGCCCTCTCCTTCCCAGCGCTGGACTCTGGTGGCGCCCGAACACACCCTGTGGCCACTGATTCCCCCTCTCCGATGGGGGTGTAGGTGGGAGGCAGGAGGACCCCCGGAAGCCCACCCCCAGGTGGGCCTCAAGCTCAGTGGGGTCAGCACTGCCCTGTCACCTCCCCTACCTGTGCACCCAGTCTCTGTGGGACTTGCAGGCTGCGGGGGGCACGGCTGTCTTTTGTGTCCTCTGAGTGACCTCCCCGAGGGGCCGCGTCTCCTTCCTGGCCAGGTCCTCCTTCTGGCAATGCAGGAGGAAGCCTGTGGAGTGAGGACAGGGAAGATCCAGCCCAGGTGGGACCAGGACCCCTGGGCTGCTGCTCGCTCCATCTCTGGGGTTTCCCTACCCAGGTGCCTGGCTCTGGGATGAGTCCATCCTACATTCTTGCCTCTGACATGGGCCACTGTGAACATCAGAGGGGTCCAAAGGCAGGGTGTGCACCTCTCAGGCTGTGCATCCCTAGCTGGTCACTTCACCTCCCTGGGGCTCAGTACCCCATCGTAAAATGGGTGCCATACTTTGTGGACCCAGCAAATAATAACACTGACCCCTCAGACCCTGCCTGGGCTGGCCCTGTCCCCAGCACCCCACCGGCTCACCTGCCAGCTGCTGCAGGACCTGCAGGGTCTGGACACTTCTGTCTCTGCTGTCTCCACCTTGTAAGCCATGCAGGCTCCGCCCAGGCTGCGATGGGGGAGGCCGGGCTCCCTTCTCCTCCCTCAGGCTCCCTGCCCTGAGGTGGCACAGAGACAGATGCTGCCCAGGCCGAGGGGACACAAGGTGGCCACCTGTGTGTCCCCCTCACCCGGGGCCGGGTCAACCGCTGGGAGCCCCTCGTTCCGGGTTCATTGTAGCCCTGATTGTAGCAGCTCTTGGGGGCAGAGTCCTGCTTTGCTTTATTCTCTCTCACTTTGTTTTTCCATGGAAAAATGACCGGAGACGGACCCCGGGGTCTTGTACGTGACAAGCAAAGTACTGTGCAGCCAAGCTACACGCCCCCCAGACACCTGGTTAGATTATTTGGGGGGACAGGGAGCAATGGGAATTGAACCCCGGGCCTTTGCACTGCGCTACATCCCCAGGCTGTTTTTTATTTTTCACTTTGAAATCTTGCCTCCCTAAATTGTCCGGTCTAACCTAAAGCTTACAATCCTCCTACCTCCACCTCCCAGAGTACTGGGATTATAGGTGTGCACCACCCAGCCTGGCTCTATCTAGATTATTTTTAAATTTTTTTTTTTTTTTGAGACAAGGTCTTGCAATATAGTCCAGGCTGGCCTCGATTCATGGTGATTCTCCTGCCTCAGCCTCCCGAGTGTTGGAATTACCAGTCTGTGCCACCACAGCTGGCCTTCTACTTAGAGTTTTTACAATAACCATGTATTAAAGTAAGTACCACTTAAGTAATTATTTTAAATATATTTCTTCACTTTAAAAATAAGAGCAGGGCCGGGGATTTAGCTCAGCGGTTCAGTGGCCTGCCTTGCAAGCGCAAGGACCTGAGTTCAATCCCCAGTTCAAAAAAAAAAAGAGCAAGAAAACTGCTTCATGTACACTTTCTTTTTCAATACTTTCAGAAAATTTTTATATAATGGAATTTCAACTGAAACCAAATTAGTCAACATCTGGCTAGGTTTAGCCAGTGGGCCTGTTACCTGCATTGTTTTTGTTCCTTCTTTTTTTTTTTTTTTTTTTTTTTGAGACAGGGTCTCACTGTGTAGTCCAGGCTGGCCTTGAACTCACAGCCATCCTCCTGCCTCAGCCTCCTGAGTGCTGGGATTACAAGCCTGCCATCAAATCCAGCTTATCTGTGCCATATTCTGATTGCAACATTGTGCTAAGTGTAATTTTACAGGTCATGATGTTGTCCAAGTGCTTGCCATCACTTAGTGGGGCTGAATAGTTGTAAAAATCACTTTTCTTTGAATCAGTGTTTTTAATTTTGCACGCATTAAGAAAT